CCATGAGCTGTTACTACTAGTTAGCCCGGTCTGCAGGAATTGTTACAATGTCTTACAGTGTGTCCTGTCCTCAATTGTTGTTATCTTTATGTGGAAGGTCCTTTACAGAATGTTGCTCTTATCACAGCCAGTCTGAAAGAAATCGGATCCCTTGACAGCTCTCCCGCTTTATGCATTTTTCTGCCCGCGTATTTCTTATTTCGTGTGCCCATCTTCATGCTGTGAGGCCCCTGCCTCTCTATACCCGGTATAATTCTGTCTGCTACTGGATGTTTGATATAACCAAAGTATTTCAGTTTCTGAGAAAAGATGCTGTTTACAAACCAATTTCCCTTGATGTTTAAATCTTACGGGTATTGTTACCATAATTGAATAACGTTGGCACTACGGCAAAGTCACATAACAGGTCACCATAGCTTAATTTTGGTGATTTCACCAAAGTGCAATTTTTGGGCAGTTATTTGTCACTTTACAATATGCCAGAAACACATCTGTGAATTCCTATCTCCCTGGAAGGCTAACTCAGTCAACGAATGCCTGTGGAAGTTGGATGTGTCAGCCAAAAGGCGTAAATATCACAACCATGCTGTAAACGGGCACAATGCTATGATATCTTCAAATGAATCCAGAAGAAGAAGAAAAATTCCTACTTCAGGTTGGTCAAAATGACTTATTACTTTTCACACAGCTGCACAGGTTTCATTTGCCACGCTAAAAGTTTAAACATGATTTTTTGGTAAATAAGTATTTACCCCATAGTTGATTTTAGCCTAGTACCACTTTTTGTACTTTTACGGCAGGATAGTAGCCAGTTCCAACCAGGTTATGATGATGATGATGATGATGAAGGATATATGTTGCTGTCTGCAGGTATTGCAGTGGTGCCTGCTGCTGGAGGGGGCCTGGTACTGGGAGGGTACATTGCCAAACGCTTCAATCTGACGGTGCGGCAGATCATCAAGTATCTCATTTGTACTTGCACGCTAGCCACCCTTGGCTGCTCCATCCTTTGGATCCGGTGTGATGCTGATGATATCTTTGGAGTCACTGTACCTTACTCAGGAGTGTATGTTGGTTTTTAATTTGTTTATTTTTATTTGCTCTCATGCATCAGTTTTCCTTTGCACATACATTCTTCGTCTTCTTCTTCTGCGTTTGTCTTTGAAGGATTGGTAGCCATGATGTATGGTGGTTTGCAGTTAGGCTGATCTGCACTTTTCATGCCAAAACATCACTTTCAGCATATCCCAAATAAGCTCTTTTTTTTTAAAGACATGCCTTTGAATAATAGAACCATCAACCCTTAACAAGCATGTCGTAAAGGTAAACTAACTGGAGTGTTTCCTTCAAAGTCAGAAAGCATTTGTCTGAGAGGTGGGTGACGGACAGTCTGCATACAAAGAAGGTGGATCTGAAAAAAATGGATGTGCACTTAGAACTCATGTTTTGAAACAGTACTAAAGTCCGGAAGTAGACGAGCAGCCATAACTTACCGCTGGAGTTTACAGTTGGTGAACATGAAGAAGAAGCAAAAGTCTATTGCTTGTGACTGACAAAGGTGGAGAGACCTCTGATCAGTAAGCCAGCAGCAACTGGTGAGTCAATGTCACACATTGTTATGGTACCGTGATGATGAGGATGATTTACTCTCCCAATCAGCTTAACGAATGTTGAGTTTAACAAGATACATACACATGTCGTAATTCTAAAGGACTCTGAAAGCATGCTGAAAAAGGTGAAGACAGGATTGCTTCGAGTAGAGTGGAAAGCTTAACTTGCAAGGTCACGGGTAGTGAGCATACTTTAGATCTTTTCTCCAGGCCATGATGGCATGGTGGGGAATGAACAGGCAGACAAATTGGCTGGATCTGCACCGCTGGATGGCAAATTGAGACTTCACAAGGCAGATGTGGTCAGAGCCCTTTGGGAACAAGTAACGAAGTCAGAAGAGAAACTAGATTATTATAGGCTGGAGAGAATGATGGGGAAATAAAGAGATTGAGAAAGTGAGGACAAGATAAATAAACCAAAAAAGCATTTTTTTGATTAGAGAAGCCAGAGTTGCTGGACTGGATTACATCCATGATATTGAAGTATTGCACAGGATAGACGGCATGGATGAATGTACTATGAGCCCTATGTGGCATATACTGGCACAACAGGACACAGAATGATATGACAGTAGCTCAGTTGTTCTCAACCTTCCTAATGCTGTGACACTTTAATATAGTTCCTTGTGTTGTGGTCACCCCCAGCCATAAAACTATTTTTGTTGCTGCTTCAAAACTTCATATGTTTTCGGATGATCTTAGGCGACCCCTGTGAAAGGGTAATTCGACCCTCACAGGGATTGCGACTCACAGGTTGAGAACCACTGAAGAAGCTGCTTTGATTCTATTTGCCCCATAGTATTATTGTGATAGCATCATTCCCAGATATTTATTACTTTAAGTGTCAAATTCTTTGGATTACTCTATGGGGGTTAAAGTCTGCATTGGAGAGCAAACAAAAGAGTAGATCAACTGTCCCCCTCCTTAACAAGCGTGTCATAAGAGTAAACTAATTAGGGGTGTTTCTTTCAAAGTCAGAGTACATCTGCCTGAGAGAGGAGGAACCAAAAGTCTGCCAGTAAAAACAGATGTGCATGCAAAACTCAAGTTCTGGAATAAGACAAAAGTCCAGAAGTAGATAAGCAACCAAAACTTTCCGCCTGAATTTGCAGCCAGTTGAGTTGAGTGGAGTCAAGAATTGACATCACAGCACTCGGGGCATTCCTATTTGCGCTCCGTCCTCATTTTCATCAGTCAGTGCAGAGTTACATAGCTAATGTTACCGGTTGTAATCTGGTTATATGTCCATCTTGCCTTTCCTCTGAGTGTAGTGAGCCAGTTTACAGCCGGTGAATGTGACAGAGAAGAAGTGCTTTGGATACACAAAGTAATGACTACTTAGGATTAAAAACCAGCACCGTATGTGTTCATTAGTTGGATCAGCTGGCTGTTAAGCTTGAAGATCTCATCTGTTGCAGCCAAGTTGGTCACCTCCCTCCAAAGCTGATAGCACCATGCAACAGCATATGCCAGTGTGACACAGACTCATTTGAGCCAGTTTGTAACCGGGACACCAAACTGTATTTCTCCCCATGCCATGCTGGATGTGCTGTGCAGAAAGGCACTGAGGTGAGTTTTATAAATTTTATATTATTCAAGTAATCTAGGTTTCATAATTGTTTTTACTCCTGTAGGAGTTTTGGGGCCTCACTTTTGAGGGTAAAAGAATAGACCTACTGCCCTTTATCAAGCATTTAGGAAAATAGGATTTGTTGGTCTGAAAGGTGCAGATATTGCAGACTAGCTGTGAACCACAACACAGCATGCTGTCTTTTGAAAGTCGAACACAAGAAGAAGAAGAATATTGTCATTAAGTAATTCTGGTTTTATATTTACAATTGCATTAAAATTAATCTGTTTCATGATTGCAATTGGAGTAATCTGCATTTTGTGATGGCTAATAAAGTAATTTAGGTTTTTTTTATTGCGGTTAAATCCAAGTTTTATAATTCTTCTTCTTATATATTATAGTCCATGTCATGCAATATTGGCAAGCCTTCTGTTGCACATACTGCCAGTGATTTCTGATTTAGGCCCCCCCCCCCCCCCCTTACCACCCAGCCAACGATGTCAGACTGTTCTCTTATTTTTTCTTGGCCTTTCTTCCCCTTTCAATTTTCTCATTCTCACAACATAATTTTCTAGTTTTTATCCTTTTTCATTCTGTGCCCAAAGAATGTACATTTTTTTTTGGGATGTAGGTAACTTGCTCTTTTTGTGAGTTAATTTCTTTTAAGACTCCTTCATTATAGTTTTTAAATTTGTCCATTGTGCTGTATCTTTTTTTTTCTGCAAATTTCATGTAAATCCCTACTACTCTGTTGATTGTCCATAATTCACCTCTGTACAGTAGGATTGACTACAGCTGTCAAGATCCTTCTTTCCTGCTTCAGTTGTACACATCCCATTGACTTCTCCCTGTGCATATCCCTGTAGGTGTTCCTCTTATAATCAAGGTTAAAACAGGATCGGAAATGACAGTATCAGAAAACAAGTTGGCATGGAATCATTGTTAAACTACGTGAAGATACAACTGATCAGATGATATGGGTATGTGTCAGAACTACCACAAGATGGTGAATCACTGTGAGTTCTATCACTTAGACACAAGGGAAGCTGAGCCAGAGGTCACCCCAAGCAGTCTCTTCAGACCCTGATGCTGAAAGGTAAAACGGGACGCGAGAATAGAATAAAAATTAATGGTGCACGTAAAGTGTAAAATTTAGTCTTCAGGGAGGCATGGCTTTGGAATCAATGTTCAAAGTTGATCTCAGTGTTACCATTGTGGTGTTTCAGTTCATGAATTGTTCATGTGTGGATGAACTGGCAGCTGCTACTGACAGTCCGGATATGAACAGAATACTCACTACGGAAGGATGCCGGTTGCCATGTCACCTCCTGTATGTCTTTGTCTTCCTTCTCTTCTGTGCGATGGCTGTGACTTTTATGGCTATAGCACCAGGAGATTCTATACAGCTGAGGTAAAATATAGCAGTTTTCAAATGGCTGAAAGAACATTGTTGTTATTGTGTTTTTTATTTATTTATAGATGCACAATTGTATGATGGGAGCAGCTGTAGTGTAGTTGCTAGACGCTCGCTTGCCGATACTAAGGTCATGGGTTCAAATCCGAATAGAGCTTTTCTAATTTGCTTCCAGCCTTAAATAGGTACCAGGTAAGGTCCTGGGAGGTAAAGGCGTTGACCACATCACCCACCTACTGCCGACTGGTCTATGAAATATAGGTCTAGCACTGTAAAAGTGGGCATCCAGAATTCATAAGGAAGGGCACTATAAATTGGTCTCACTACTCAGAGACCAGGGGAAATTACTAGAAGTCCATGTGAGCAGAAAAAAATCCTATCCTTCACTGGGGCTTGAACCCGGGACCTCTAGCAAAGCGGACACCATACTTCGAGACCACACAGCCCCCTTCAATAAAATTAATAATAAATTTTAACATTGGTGGTGGGGTGGGGGGGGGAGCAAGAAGAACCTGGAATGATAACATCAAGAAGTGGGTTGGACTCAGTTATTATGCAATGATACACTTGTTCAACAAGCAGAGATGGTGAGTTTTGTGTGCTTATGCTTTAATCGATACACTTCCTTGACCCTAACAGGTCAAGGGTAATGTTATGTAAAATAAAAATAGGTTTAATATTATCAACCATTTATAGTTTATTTCTGGGAATGGTTGTTGTAGGGGCCCCATCACACTGGTTTGCCCAGGAGCCCATAATCCTGTTAAAGTGGTTCTGCTCCCTGCCGTGGTTTTCAGCTGAGAACGCAGCAGGTCTCTATGAAGGCTGTAGTGTGACGCATATGTCCTCCATGATCCATACAGTTTGACTTACACTTGAGTGCTGCCTGGTCAAATCTGTGACCTCTCTGCTGTGTTTATCTGTTATGTTGATAGAGTGTGTGTATCTGTTATATAAATAGATGGTATATATATATGTATGTTATATTGCCAAAATACATTGTATGTAGTGTTTATCGTCAGACCTTGTATAGATAGTGTCTTTCTTCAGGTAATCTCAGGTAATCAAAGTTCCAGCTTAATAGATGGGTCATCCCATAGTTGCTCCATTCCTGTACCGGTAAAAACCACACAGAATTTCCATCACTGTGAAAATAATGGACACAAGACTACAGTCTCAGCAAAGCCAATAGCATACACATGCAGTAAACACATAAGGCAGTTATCAGAAGTGCCAGCACAAACAGTCCAGAAATGCAGTTCTTTATCAATGGAATGAGCAGTTACAACAGATCAGTAGTTGCCTCCAGTTTTCTGGCAACAAGCCACTCACCATTTTCTGAATCTGCAGAATCTGCTGTTGACAATGCTGACCATGTTAGCCACTCACAAAAAGCATACCAAATGAAATCTGCAGCTCACTATGTTGCGCCATGCACTCAGTTCAGTAGCTGGGTGATGGAACTGTATCCTTTCAGTCTACATACGGAGGAAAATGCAAAGGCTAACTATTGTCAGAAGCAGAATCATTTTCTATGACTAAAAAGAATAAGCCTGCCTGTCGACTATATTTACCAGATGTTTGTCTATCATGTACAATAACAACATACATTCTGTATGTCCTGCACATTGCATATAGTGTTTATTGACTTCAAGATTGTGTGTGTTGTGAAAAGTGGCAGTGAATGCCTTGCCTCTTAGCAGACTATATCACATTGTATTTTATGACTTGAAATATCAACAGATGTGTTCTAGAAGAGCATAAAGTATTAGCTCAAGGAGTGAAAACTCTTATTGTTCGCATGCTGGGTGAGTACTGTCACTTTGTAAGCTGAATTTATTGTGCCTCATAGCATATAAATTAAAATTTGTGATGTAATAGACGTTGTAGAGCAGCTAGAATTCTGGGCTCTTATTTAATAGACCCTTGTTCAAATCTGAAAAAGTAGCATAGCGATTCAGGCGTGAGGATAAGTTAAGGTCATTTTGATATGTATAAGAAGGTACTCCTCTCACCTCGGGCACCAGCAGTCTCAGTGCTGATCTGATTTCACAGATATCCTAATGCAAGACTCATGCCACACGTCCATGTTATGCACTTTGAATAATGGTTCATCTGAGCCTCAACTGAGCTGGCACGAGATCTTGGAGCCCCCAGAAACCCTCTGGCTCTGATCAGCCCCCCCCCCCCTTTCTGGCTCTGATCAGCCCCCCCCCCCTCTGGCTCTGATCAGCCCTCCCCCTCTGGCTCTGATCAGCCCCCCCCCCCTCTGGCTCTGATTAGCCCCCCCCCCTTTCTGGCTCTGATCAGCTCCCCCCCCCCTCTGGCTCTGATCAGCCCCCCCCCCCCCCTTTTGGCTCTGATCAGCCCTCCCCCCCGGCTTTGATCAGCCCCCCCACTGCATTGGTGATAACATCTACCAAAAACTCAGTTGGGACATGAGTGGCACACAGGCTGAATATCCTGCTACATGACACACCTAAGTTAAAATATATATTTGTTCGCAGCTTAGGTGAGCAAAGTCTCAGGTGGGCGGTATCTCTCAGTCGGCAGTATCTCATGCCAGCCACCTTTACATCCCAGGACTTTACCTGGTACTCATTTTAGGTTGGATCAACCTGGAAGCCAATGTTTGTTGTTGTTGTTGAAGAAATCCGACTTGATGCAGATTTAACTCAAGACTAGTGGGCCAGCAGGCAAGTGTCTTGCCACTGTGCCACCACAGCTCCACACAGACATTTGAATGAACTGAAAACAAAGCAGTGATCTTTATTCAAAAGAGAACAGTGCATTTTTGAAAGTCTATTTTAAGTGAAGGAAGGAAGTCAATTAAACAGGAATATGCTTTTTAGGCAGACACATTTTTTAGGTTATGCGTTAGTAAAAATTTTGGCTTGTGGGCCCTGTTTTCTTCAGAATAATAAATTGTTGGCCTTTTTGCCATGTAAGATGCAGTGAAAACTGTCAAATTTTCTATCTAATTTTTGTCATAAATTGCACTAAAACTGTCAGTTTAAATTTAAATTTTTTTTTTCATCAAGCGTTTTAACATTTTATTTAGATAAGTCTGCAGAGGTGTAAACTGCAATCCTTTTATTTGTTTTATAAATTGCATTGAAACTGTCAATTTTAATTTTCCTGTTTCCTTCATAAATTGCATTTGAATTCAGTTTTAGTTGTCATTTTTGTGTGTGGGTAAATCAGCCAAGCTGTAAATATTAATTCTTTAATTTAATATTTTGCATTAAAACTGTTTTTTTTTAAACTGTCCTTATTATTTCAGAAGTATGATCAAACTAAATTGTATTTATCCCTTTTATTTTAGAATTGCAATCAAACAATAATTTTCAATTGCTCCATTTATTTCAGGCTCTTTTATGGGGCCGATTCTAATGGGAAAACTGTTGGACTTGCGATGTGAGATTTGGCGGGAGAAATGTGGGCAGCAGCTGTCCTGCTGGCTGTACAACCAAGATGGCCTGGTCATCAGCATCTACTTCTACATCCTGACGCTGAAGTTGCTGGCACTCTTCTTCTGTATCCTGGCACTGAAGTTTTATCAGCCGCCGCCAAGTTTAACAAAAACAATTCTTGTGAAGGTCAGTTGTACATTAGTTAGCACCGTTGTTGAGCTTAGTTGAGTGAACTCTTGTGGTACTAGAAGAAGATGTCATTAGAGCTGTGGTGAAGAAATATCTGTATATACAATTCATCAGTAAATTACATGTTAAGGGGTAGTTTAACAGTTGTAGTGAGCATTGGACAAGCCAGATTTCTTGAGTGTGTTCTGATTAAATACAAAAGTAAGAGAGTGTATTAAGCTGAAGATGGGATTCACACATAATGAGTAATTTAGAACTGAAAGAGTTGAGAACCGACAACACAGCACTTAATAAAATCCCATAAGCGCTACATCCCTATCTTCAACAGTTCCAATGTCGATGATACGCATGACAGTCTGATAGTATGTCATTCTTCCCTTTTCTGGTAGTGTTGGCCAGATCCCTTCTTCACTCCCCACTGCACTCTTCTCTGCAGATTGTGATGATCCATTTGCGCTTCCACATAGTTCCCTAACTCCCAAAGGGCATTGACCAAATCTAGCATGTCCTGCATCAATTTAGAATTTAGGATCAGCACCATCTGTAAGTGTATAAAAACACTGTTCTTTGGCCAACATAATGAAAAGAAAGACATTGGAGAATGTAATGTGAATTCCCGTGCAAATCCCAGAGAGTTCCCAATTGGGGGACAAGGTCAGAGGACCAGTGAAACAAGAGGAAAACGAGATAAGCAGGTCTCGAGTATCCCGTGGTGAGTGAATGAGTGATACGAGGAAAGCTCTGGAATGAAAGATGTGAATCCAGAGAGGGTAGGAAGGCAGTTGAAGTTCGGACCTGGGTGTGTGTGGTCGAATGTGAGAGAACAACTGATGAGAATGCAGAACGTCTGACCATGTGTACTTGTTCAGAGCAAAAATGTATGTTTCTTGATTGCAAGTTTTAACTGTGAACGAGTACTAGGTATAATACGTTAGTATGATACAGACGTATGATTAGAAAGGTAATGGCAGAGAGAATCACCGTATAGTTGACAAGGTCATCAAGAATCAGCCAGGCTTAGCAACCACCTGAATGCAAGGAGCACATGGACAGTACGATTGTTGTAACAGGGAATAAAGATCAATAATTGAATTTTCGTCGTCTGGTGTATTCTTGGCAACTGTGTGTACCTAAGAACGTCATTATAGCAATGTGATGAGTTGAATCAAACCCCTAGCAGAGCACACTGCAAAGAACATCGTGACAACTGGAAAGATCAGTGGAAAGAGGGGTAGAGGCAGACTAAGAGAGATCATGCTGGATGGGCTGAAAACATGGCATGGAGGAATATCATCAAGAGAGCTGATCCAGGCAACCAGGGATTGTGATCTGTGGAGGCGCATGAGCGACTATGCCAGTTGGCGGAACACATGATATATAAAGTCATCAGTGTGGGTAGGTACTCTCTGTTGAGGAAGAAGACAAGTCTCTTGAGGAGAGGGACACAGCACACACAGTAATGTCCCACCAAGGTTAACAAAAAAAAAACTGTTCATGTAGAGGTCAGTTTTATTTTGGTCAGCACCATGTGTATATGTATTACATATGATAGATCTGATATATACAAACAGTATTGGAACATTTTGTTGGCTTATTTGATTTGCAAAACAGGGAGTTTGGTCTGCATAAAAGTAAAGTAAAGGACCCTCTCCACGCCTTTAGGCATTTAGGGCATATAGGGCTAGACCTATATTTTTATAGACCGATCGGCACAAGATGGGTGATGTGGTCAGCAGCACACCGGCCGCCTTTACTTCCTGGGACTGCACCTGGTACACACTCAAGGCTGGGCCAAGGTCATTTTTAAAAAAAGTCCGGCTCCGCCAGGGAGCGAACCCACGACCTTCCGATTCGCGGTGAGCGTCTAGCCGCTCCGCCACGGCGACTCCCTTGGTGTGCACAAGGACACATTTATTTTCCTTCCTCCCTGTTTGCTCTTAAAGGGGCAGTCGGCACGTTGTATTGTGGTTCACAGGTAGGCTGTCATGTCTGCACCTTTCACTCTGACTCATTGGATTTCAGGTAGACCCCCTAATTAGTCACCTTTTAGACATGCTTTTTAGAGGCAGTGGGTCTGTTCTTTTTTTTCCTTGTTCTTTTTTTCCCTGTTCTTTTCCCGCCCCTGTTCTTTTCTCCCATATTTTTTTTCCCCTGTTTATTTTTCTCCTGTTCTTTTTTCCCCTTCAAAGTGAAGCCCCAGAACCCACATGGGGTAAAAGGATGAACTGGATTTGCAAAAGGTTGAATTTGATTTGCTAAAGGTTGAATTTGATTTGCTAAAGGTTGAATTTGGCATGATAATCCTGTATCAGTGTGTATGCTTACATAATTTCTTGTCATAACAACAGATTGTCAAGAACCTTCTCTCGTCTTCCTCTTTCTCTCTTTCCATAAATCTTTCCAGCTGGCACATCATGTTTCGCCTTCTCTCGTCTCATAATGCGATAAAACAAATGACTTCATCTAATGTTTGTGATGAGTTGTCTTTGCATGTAAGCTTCTTGCAAAACATTAATCATTCAATTTCTACAAATTTATGATTTTCTTCTGAGTTTTTAAAGAACTGGCATATTTATGTTTATCAATTTTTCCATAAAACCATGTTTTGACTGCCTTTACACGTTTCTCGATTAATCTGCTTATGAAAATAACTGTAGAACAAAAATAAACAGCACTGATTCTGTTGCAGGACCCAAATTCAAAGTCTCCCGTGGACCAGCTTTCAGAAACAGACCATTTTGTTATGAAGCCAAACTATGCTAAGTCTGACGTAAGTGAATAAACTGTCAATGCATTGTCTTGTATATTAGTGAGCTTCTCACTAAAGTTGTTTTCTTACAATAGTAATATGTTTCAGTCTTATATTAATGAGTTATTTGCCTTTAAAAGTAAATGGGTAATTTGTTGTCACATTAATGGGTTCATTTATTATATTATTGGATTAGTTTCTCATAATATTATTGGACTATAAAAGTAAGGATCATCTTTGTGCTCTGTCTAATTTGTTGCTTAAGTCTATCTTCATTTCTTTAAAGCTGTTCTTGATGCTGTCATTCCATGTTTTGTGTGTCTTCCTCTTTCTCTGTGTTCATTGTTATTTCTTCAGCAAAGCTTTTGGTAGCAATTGATAACGTGGCATTCTTATCAGATGTCATTTTGCATTACTGTAGTCTCTCTTTTACTCCTTCCACCCTTCACTTTCTTGGTCTGCCTCTTCCCTTGTAGCCTGCTGTTCTCATTTTGTTTTCTCTAGCTACTGCCTTATTTTGTTCTGTGACCAGTTGACCAAACCATTTGATCCTTTGATGTTCTTTGAAATCATTTAATGGTAATGTGCCTACCTTCATTCTAGTTCTGCATTGATGCACTCAGTCAGTTAATACAGTGATTCTTCTCTCCCACAACAGGACGGATAACACAGCCAACAGCAGCATCACTGTAGCTGTAAGCCTGTTTATCAGCATGAGCTACACGTCGACTACAACTCCAAGAGATGGACATCACCAGAAGTGGATTACTTCATATAAAGTTTGGAGCCGGTAACAATTACATATGATGTGAACTGGAAGCTTGCACAAAGAAGATCATTGTATTCGCATCATCTTTCTGCTGAGAATTTCCAGTATTTTTATGTATTCATTCATAGATTGGTTCTGTAGTAGATTAGAGCCTCTGCTGCCTTTTGCTTAGGCTGCATTAGTTTTAAATCTTGTGATTGAGATTTACTATCACAGCAGTTTACAGCTTGTTCTGGGTGATTGGGATTAGTAATCACACAATTTCTATGTGATTAATATTAACGATGTGATAATAATGATTGAACCTATTACAGTTATGTATGCTAATCCCCTGTGGGTTTCATGGCCCCCCGCCCCCCCCCCCCCCCCCCCCCCCTTGCCCCCCCCACCTCAAGAGTCGACTAATAAAGGGGTTCCTTCAAAGTCAGAGTACATCTGTCTGAGAGGCAAGGAACCAACAGTCTGCATAAAAGTAAGACAGATCTGTAAAACGGATCTGCACACAAAACTCAAGTTTTCAACAGGACTAGAGTCCAGAAGGGGACAAACAGCCAGAACTTTCCGCTGGAGTTTACAGCCAGTGAAACACGAAGAAGATGAAAGATATTTATTAAGTTAGTTATCGCTTAAGTTCTGTGTGATTAAAATTGGTGATCACATTGCGTTTATTCTATATCATGAAGATTACTAGTCACCTCAGCTTTATTCCGTGTAATTACGATAATCACTTGATCACAACTATCAATTTCACCAATTTCAATATATATATATATATATATATATATATATATATATATATATATATATATATATATATATATATATATATATATATATATATATATATATATATATATGTACTAATTTTTTTTAAATAAATATTTTAATATCCACAAGAAGTAGAATAAGTTAAAATTAACATTACATGAAAATGACTCGAAGTAATTTTAATATAAAACACAACACAGACTATGACTAGAAGTAACTTTACACAAACTAAAACTAGAAATAACTTACTACAACAAAAACTGTGACTTGAAGTAACTTATTACAAATTAAGACTAGAAGTAACTTACTAAGACTAGAAGTAACTTAATACAAGACAAACTAAAACTAGAAGTTAATTAATACAACACAAACTGTGACTAGAAGTAACTTAAACTATGACTAGAAGTAACTTACTGTAACAAACTGTGACTAGAAGAAGTTTAATACAACACAAACTATTAGAAGTATCCACTTCACCATAAGTCTTGTTTTGACTACTTGTAAGCTTATTGTAAGGAAATTAATGTGGGTGCTTTCCCTGCACTACCGCTTATATATATATATACACACACACACACACACACACACACACCCACACACACACGCACGCACGCGCGCGCGCGCGGTCATATATAATGAACCATACATTTTCATGCACTGTAGCATATTCATAAGTATGATATTGAGGGTTTAGTTACAATATTGGTAAATTTATTGATGATTCTTAATTGTTTCTTAATCTATAGTTTCTGGTATATGATCTGTACAGCCTATTCTCATTTATCTCCCACCTTTAACCCTACCAGACCTGAGGCTCTGAACCTAACTGTCCCCTGTACCTGAGCTCCTGGGCATTAGCGTGAAAAAACCAACATGATATACAAAAATATTAGTTACATGCAAACAAGTGGCTAGATTAAGATGAAACTTGGAGACATTGTAGTAAATAGGCTTATCTTTTATTTAGCGCCAATATTCCACCTTTGTGTGCCAATCCACTCAGGAGGATCAAGATTGTTTCACAAAGTGATCACCAGATGTTTGAGGGACACGCCCCCTTCTCTTACTACCGATCCATTTCTAGATTTATAATTTTCAAGATTCTCCCCATTATTTTAGCTAAATGTGTCACTTCAACTGTGAACATATTCTTCATGAAATTATGTCTCCGCAGAGTCTGAATAAAGCAAAGTAGCGATCACCTGTTGGACTGTAAAAAGCCTAGACCTACTTTACTTTCCTGTCAAAGTGCTTGGTTCATCAGCCGCTCGTTTTATTGTGAATTTTCAGAATTTTTTCACGTAAAACAACAAATTTGTTCCAAACACACGAGGGCGGACATCTAGGAAGACTATACACGAGGTCTGATGACGATTGGCTAGTTATTTTTAGTTTGTGACGCATCTTTTTCAAGCACTATGCAAATAGCTGGAAATTAGGGCCAGCGGTATAGCGTCAGGTTAAGAAATTCAAGGAAAATCGGGCCAGCAGTCTGGTAGGGTTAAGTTAAAGATAAGTAACATATCAGATTAATTTTGGTGACGTGTTTTTCATCAGTTTAAAATGTTTTCAAAATCTGTCCATTTCTTAATTAAGTCATACATATCCTGGAGTAATTTATCATAACTGAGAGTTGAAAATTATTATTGTTTTTTTAAATAATTCTGACCCAAATATTTATTTTAACTCATTCTGACCAGATAATTATTTTAACTCATTCTGACCCAAAAATGTATCTGTTAAATTGTTCTCAGTGGGGGTCTGGGGTCTCCTGGTGGGATCAAAAAAGCAGCCCGAAATGAGCCTACAGTAAAAGCTACTAATTGAGGGTTTGATAAAATCAGATGTCTTAGGCTGAAATGCACCGATGTCGCAGCCTGACTGTAAACTACTGCACAACATGCCAGCTGGCATTTTAAGGGCAAACACAAGAAAAAGAAGATAAAAATAAAATCTTTCTGGGATCTTCTTTTTCTTAAAAGTCCATGCTGTTTGGCGTTGGTAGTCATGTTTATCCACAACCTTCTGTCTTGTGTACTTTCAATCAACTCTGATACAGATAATCCTCCATGCTATGATGTCAAGCTGCCCAGCATCTTGTCTCTTGGTCACCCATTGCCTTTCTTCCCCTCCAACTTTCCTACTGTCACGATGTACTCCACTTTTCTTCTTATTGTCACTTGACCAAAGAATGTAGATTGTCAGTTTCTGAGATAGATTGAGTTAAATGTTGATTGTCTGATGCTGAAAGAGGTGATGACGTTATTAAATGCATGTTGATTGATCGATTGATCCACTTGTCATCTCTGAGCTGCTGCCTAAAGGTTTCCCAAACCATCCTGAGATTTAAAAAACAAATCTCAATCTTGATGGTAGACTGACAAGGCAGATCTAAGATACCCAGTTCAATCTCCAAATAAGTTATAATTGGGGCACCCATCCTGGCTTAACCAGCCAGGTGTCACCTGCAGTCCTATGCCGAAATGGCAAAGACATGTGAACCTATTCACATGATTTATATACCGATAATGTATGTTCCATTGCCAAAAGATGTGGGTTTTTTAAAAAAAAAAAAAAAAAAAAAAGAAAGAAATTGTCCCTGAAAAAGATTTTCCTATTGGCGGTAATCAGCAACAGTGATATGTTTACTGTAATTTATAGCGGTGAGGGTTACCTTATATTCTTAACTCTTTCAGTCCGAAGTAACGCATCATACGTTCATAGGTTTCTACCTGGAAGCCACATAATTGTGCCAGTTTTATATCTCTTTTTAATACCCCTTGGGCCTCTGATGCTAAACCCCCAGGGACTAAAAGAGTTAAATTATAGATACTTTATCATTCTGTGGACCAAGTAATAAGTGGTTTTTTTTTTTTAAATTCATTAAACCAAGTGTGTTCCTTAGCATTCTGTAAAATACATGGGTTCTTTATCATTGCTTAGACCAGGTGGGTATATAGAATGGCCATATTTATGAATCAATTTGGTTTTAGATTTCTAAATATCCTTTCAAAAACATATTAGTTAATCAATTTGGTTTTAGTTTTTAAATGTCCTTTCAAAAATATATTTGTTAGTCAGTTTGGTTTTAGGTTTCTAAATGTCCTTACAAAAACATATTTTTTAATCAATTTGGTTTTTGGTTTCAAAAATGTACTTTCAAAAATAACAAGTTCCTACCTCACCAGAAGGAATATAATTTCCATGAAACTGTGATATTTGAACTGTTTAGACAATTTTGTTAGCTCTGAGTAAACACAGAGCCTAAAAAAATGTGGTTTCTGTCTCATTTGCAGTTTGCTGTGCCAAATTGCCACGTAAACAAAGAAATAATTGTATTTTATGTTCCTATAACGGAGTTTACTAAGTTATTTTGAAACTTCTGTTTGCTCTTACTGCGTCTTCTTCTTCTTTCATTCGCTTGAAATAGATGAGATATGTCTGCAATGTTGTCTCTATTATGAACTTCACTGTCTGTTGTAAT